TATATAATAAAAGGCTAATATGCAAATCGACCAAACCGCAGAATGACTGGTCGCTATAATGTGCACTGACTACCAGAGGGCAGTGTCGCTATAATGTGCACTGACCACCAGAGGGCAGTTGTTTAATGCAGGAACTGCCCCCTGGTGGTCAGTGAGCTCCCACAGGGGGAGCGCCACTCAGCCAGAAGCCGGGCTCACGGCTGGCAAGCACATGGCAGTGGCGGAAGCCTCTCCTGCCTCCACGGTAGTGCTAAGGATGTCCGACTGCCGGTTTAGGCCCACTCTCCATGGGAAGTGGGCCTAAGCCGTCAGTCGGACATCTCCCAAGGGCTCCTGGACTGTGAGAGGGTGTAGGCAGAACTGAGGGGCCCCGCCATCCCCCCCCCCAAGTGCACACATTTCTTCCACCAGGCCTCTAGTCTATGTATATAAAAACCAAAGCGACTGTTTGACCAGTCACTATGATGTGCACTGACCACCAGGGGGCAGATGCTCAATGCACAGGATCAGGCTCCCTCCTGTCTGGATTGGGCCTGCAGGGATAGGGCCAAAACTGGCTCTCCAACATCCCCCGAGGGGTCCTGGATTGCGAGAGGGCGCAGGCCAGGCTGAGGGACCCCCCACCAGTGCGTGAATCTGTGCACCAGGCCTCCAGTTTAATATAATAAGCTGGTCAATGATTTGTTCTGCAAAATGCTTATACTATGGTTTCACAGAGCACGTTCTTTTTCCAGATCAATTCTTTCATATTCCAAGTGCAAGGTACATATGGTATAATCCCATTTATGTAATACCTTTTCCCACTTCATTGAGTGCACAGTCACACATGTAAGGGTTTAGGAGGCCACACACACACACACACACACACACACACACACACACACCCAGGCCCTGCAGGAAGATCCCGTTGCAGGAAGATTCCTGCAAGAATAGGGCTTCCTGTGGCTGGAGCGAAGCAGAGAAGGGAGCAAAACCCGCGGGCTTCGCTCCCGCCCCGCCGCCCAGGTTTCCGCTTCCCGCCTCTGCAGCCTTGGCTCCGTTCCTGTCTCTGCCACCTCTACTTAGTTCCCTTCTGCAGTGCTTCACTTCCACATTGTTTTCAGTCTTTGCTCCCAGCCGGTATATGCAAATTAACCGCCACCTGGTTGGGTTAATTTGCATATAGTTGCTCTGATTGGCTGATGGGCATAGTGAAGGTACAGTCAATTAGCATCTTTGTCTTTTATTAGTGTAGATATGAGTTTTGACAGAGGTTGTTCCTGAAGGGTAGGTTTGGGGGTTTTCTGTTTCCTTATTTTTGCTTTTAAGTATTTTGAGTTGTAATAAGAAAAAAAATTAAAATTATTTGAAAACATTAAGAGGGGAGCTGTGGTTAGAATATGTAAATCTAAGAACAATCAGAAATAGAGAATTTGATGGCCACGTCAATAGCCTCATCATTCTTCTTTCCTCTACACTTGCTCCTCATTTTAATGTGGTTAGTGTAGTCAAAGATGCAAATTTGATTATGGCGCTTCCCTGCTTTGAGTCAATTACCTCTAAAGGTACTTCTGTGTCACTGTTTATACTTATTATCTTGTATAAATCAGTCATATTTCAGTTCCAAATGACAGAAAGCTCACTGAAAAGTTTATCTGGATGGGAAAGCCCTTGGATTTAAGACAAATTAATTTTGGTGTAGTTATCTACATAGATATGCACTAGAGCAGTTTATCTGGATGGGAAAGCCCTTGGATTTAAGTTCAAAGGGTCTCTGGGCTATGTTATAAGGGCAGACCAACTCAGAAACTCCCAACTAAATGCCACAGACATTGGCTTAAGGGCTTATCAAAGAAGACAAATTAATTTTGTTGTAGTTATCTACATAGATATGCACTAGAGTGGGATTTTGGCTATCAAAACTCTTAGGACGTGCTCTGTAATGAAGGTGGTGATTTTGGTGATATGACCCGTCAAAGAGATAAACAACTCATTGGAATTCCTGTTCTTTGGTTTATTGGCCTTGGTTCTAACAGGAAACAGATGGTTCTTATATTAAGATACTTTGAGGAGACACAAACAAAGATGTGGGGTAGGGGAGCCATAGGAGCTTCAGCAACTCCATGCTAGTAGCAGTAGAGCTGGAATCATCCCCAGGCCAGAAGGGAAGAGAACAGGAAGTGGTGAAGGGAAGTTTGGAAGTAGTGACCTCTGACTGCTGATGCAGCCCCACTGGGTGAGAGGCTAAAGAATAAATATCCTGACTGTCCTCAGACCTCTGGTCATCCCTTGGCCAAACCCACCCAGAGGTCAGAAGGCAAAGGTGCTGTGGTTCATTCATCAGCCTCATGGGACAGGGCACAGAGAGGAGCTGGAGATTTAGAGATACCCAGCACATTTGGCAAATCCCCACCATAGCACTTACTACACTCTTTGATGGTCTAAAAGGGCAGAACCGTATTATTTATTCATGGCCATGCCTAGTAAAATTCTGGCACATGGTAAGTGCTCAGTATTATTGAATGGATGAACAAAGAACTGAAATACTGTTGAAACAAAAACTAAAAGCAAACTATCTGCCACACACAATTAGGAAGTAAGTGTTTACTTTCAGAGCAAATATTTACAATGTTCCAGAAATACTGGAGCATGACTGAGCAATAAATTCTATTCTGTAGATATGTCACAACTTTATAATAAAGTAGAGTCGATTCTCATTACTCGTGGGTTCGGATTTGCAAGTTTGCCCACTCTTTAAAATGTTGTGTGTGCTTTCATGGTCATGTGTAGTGGTGAAAAATTTGACTTGTCCAATGCTTATGTTCTCAAGTTGAGGTTGGTAAGGTGACATACCCTTTTCTTGTTCCAGCTCTCATAATTTTAACAATGTCCTTAGCTCTATTTAGTGTGGGTGTTTGTGGTGGTGTTTTTTTTTGCATTTTTGATGATCTTGCTGTTATAAAATGGCCCTTCCATGTAGTGCTGAAGTGCTGTCTAGTATTTCTAAGTGAATGAAGGCTGTGATATGCCTTATGCAGAAAATACATGAATTATATAATCTTTGTTCAGGCATGAAGTTATAGTGCTATTGACCATGAGCTCAACATTAGTAAATCAATGGAACAGAAAGACACCTCAAACAAGTTTATGTATTATTGGCTAATGAAAATGTGACCAGATGCTCAAAGAACAACAGCCTGGGGAAGTATTTGTTAATTGCATTTTGGTGGTGACTTTACAGAACTAAACTACCACTAATCATTACAACCAACTGTACTTGTTATTTTCCAGTTCCTAATAAAGATTAAAAGAAAATTCAATTTACAAAAGATAGAAGATGATTTTTCTATAGTTGGCAGCTAATTGGTACTTACTATGTAAAACCAGAAAGGGCGGAAACATTAAAAACCATCACCACTGCAAACTAAAGAAATCAATAGAGATAAAAAGAAAAACAATCTATTTAATACATTAATTTTAACAACAGTCACAAATGCACTATTCTTATGTAGACTCAGTTGGTGAAGTCCATCCTGCTTAGTTAGGCCTATATGTACTCACTCCACAATAAATCAATCCTACATGATCCCGAAGCTTCATGCGCAGACTTTTCAGTAGTTTGGCAAACCTGAGGTTCTTTTTTTTAAATCACCATTTCATTGGCTAATATAAACAGTTCTCCAGGCTCTGGCATAAGAATATTTAATATTAGCCAACAAAGACAGCCACCTACGCTGAGGGATATAATAGTGGCAGCCTTTTGATTTTTATGTTTGTTTAAAGTACACAACCTTAAATAGTAAGACACTGAGCTGAAATTTCTAACTTGCTTTCTAACAAAGAATGATAGTTCCCCCAGGGACCAGCAGGTATTTATAAAAATTGTACTAACATTTTGTAAGAACACATAAACATCAATAAGAAGCTGACTTTCCTGTCATGCAACAAAGGTTTTTAAGAGGAGATGTAATACATATATATATATTATAGAGAGCTGTAAGATAAATGTTGAGTATTGTCATAGTAGTTAAAGGTTATTTTTATTTCTGAAAAACACTTTTGATACCATTACCATACCCCAAAATAGGTATTAATGCTACTGGTGGTTAAGAAGCTCAGGAGCTATAATTATGCATCTCTTTAACTGTGGAAATAATGCAGGAGAGCTCTCAAAATGTGAGGAGAAAACGCCCCACACTTAAATCAATGAATATTTACTAGGAGAAAACTTTTAAAATGACTGCAGCCTTGGTAGAGTTGCATTAATACCAAACAGCCACACTTCTGCTCACTTACAAGAAGTACTATTAAGAAGCAAAAAAGCTAAAAAAAAAAAAAGCAATAAAGCTATCCTATATAATAAAAACTTAATATGCTAAGTGTCTGACCATTCGACTGTTTGACCAGTCACTATGATGTGCACTGACCACCAGAGGGCAGACGCTCCGACCAGGTTAGCATGCTGCTGGGGTCCAGTCAATCGGGACTGGGCAAGACAGGCCGGACACTCCCTGTAGCCCTCCCGCGGTCCTTCTCTGCCCCGATTGTGCACCTGTGGGGTCCCTCGGCATGGCCTGCACCTTCTTGCAATCCGGGACTCTTCAGGGGATGTCAGAGAGCCAGTTTCAGCCTGATCCCCGCAAGCCAAGTCAAGGGACCCCACTGGTGCACAAATCCATGCACCGGGCCTCTAGTGTGTAATAAAATGTGTCAGTTCACAGAAAGTATATTTTTTCACAATAGAAAAATTGAATATCTTTAGTTAAACACTTAGATGGGAAACAGCCTAAAGAAAAATGAAGACCTACAGACTCCACCTATTTCAACTACAAAGCAAAATGCTCTCACTGTGACTGAAGGAAAATAATTTAATATTCATTATCAGTTTATGGGTATAACTCCAAGGAATGATTATGCTTATAAATAAACTCAAGATTTTTCCAAAGATTTTTAACTAAATATGCAAGATATAAAATCAAACTGCAAACCTAGTTCAAAGCAATTAGAGTCCAATGGTTTTCTTATGTTTTCTTGTATGCTCTTTATTTTAAATTGATATTTTAGAACAGTGAATTATCTTTCATAGCAGTGCCTCCAGGTCTGATAATACAGTACCCACTTCAGAATGTAGAGATTTAAGATAAATCAAACTGAACATTAAGGCGTACAAACAGCTAATTTAAGTCTGTTCTTATTTAATAAGGATCGTTTTAACTCATTCAAATACATGGAATGTTGGCACAAAACTTGAAGCTGCTGTAGAAAGATCACAGATGTTCTGCGGGTTATTGGAACTTCCATTTCTCTAAAAACATACCCTTAAATGGTCTTAATTTTACAAATTTAAGTGTTAGGAAAATGTCTAAATAATAAGTAACAATTAAAATAAAATGTTTATTTGTAAATTATATACAGAATACATTTACTTTACGACAAGGAAACGGGAAGACGACTCATCCCCTCCCACTCAACGGGCTTGCTTTCTCTGGAGATGAATACCCCTCTCTGAATCCGACGTACAGACCAGTTTGGATTTCCTAAGCTGGAAAAGGAGGATTTGTAGCTAAACTACAAGTGCTGTTTCAGTATGCTAGTTGGCTTGTTTCCACAGAATGCTTTTGAACCCTGTTAACTCAGAACCTTAGAAATTTCCTGATGTAATTTTATAATCAACAAAAGTTAACTGTCAAAAACAGTGAGTTTAAGCATTTCATCTCAAAGAAACTGTGAAATGGCTACATAACTGCACATAATCTGAAATTTTGTTGTTTCTTTTTATTCATTTAATTATTTTGATTAGTCTAACAGTAAAAAGCCATACAACTATCAAAAATGCCATTAATCTCAATGTCATTGTGGAAAGTGCACCTTTGACAACTATCAAAATTAATGAGACCTATGTACTGTAAAATGATCAAATAGATAAAACTTATAAATGGCTTCTGACTGTACCAATAATAGTATTCTATGAAATGAAGGACTGAATAGTCCCAGGATGTCAAATACATTTCAGTAAGTGGACTTAAAGAATGCTACAAATGTCAGGTATGCATTATGATGATCAGCCAACATAGAAATCCAACCTCTTGCACTTTTTTAGTCCCCCAAATTAGACAGATTATGATTTTTCATGTAAAGATTTAGTTGTTTCTCCATCATTGTCATCTTCTTCCTCCTCTTCACAATCACCATCTGTTTGTTGTTCCAATTCCTCTTTTGTGATCATTTCAAAATCATTCCCATTTCCACTACTGTGTTGGGACCGGTCATCTTCCCTCCTGTCACTGTCTGTGTCAGAATGCCGTTCTCCACCTGAGCCTTCTGTTCCATGATTTCCTGGTCCTACTTTCCCCTCCTCATCTTCCTTTTTCTCACTGTCTGACTTTTCCTCACTGTCAGACTTCTGCTGCTTTTTGGTTTCAGACTTTTCATCTTTCTTTAAGTCTGCTTTTGGTCCTTTATATTCATGTGTGTACAGAGGCCTGAAGGAGTCAATGAAGCCCACATCAGCAGTCAGATTTGGCAAGAACCAAAAGTGGTGCCTTCCTCCAGTTATGAGCCAAATGATGAGAAACAGAATGCAACGAGCTGTGGGAGAAACATTTCTCTAATTAAATAATTCAAGCATTGACTCTGACAGCAGAAAAGAGTTATTAAGAAAAAATGAGAAGACATTCAGAGTGTTATTATTTGCACATTACACGCACCCTAAATTAAACAATTAAGTCCTGATTAGTTTAGCAGCTATCACAGTATTCTAGGCACAGAGCATTCTGTTCTGAACTTGAGGGCATAATGCTACAATGCCATTCAAAAAGTTACTTCTATGTCTTTTTCAGCTGGGTGCTTTTCATAGATAGATACTTATGATTTATGCAATTTGCTATGTTATAGTTCAAGAAGCACAGCCCTCAGTTGCACATTAAGTACGGACAAGAGCATCGTATAAGAAAATAAAATAAATGCGAGTGAGGAATGAAGGTATCTTAAGAAGTCTCGAAAAAGGAAAATGCAGGGCTGCATGATGACTTTTCTAGACCCTAAGTACTTTAGCAATTCTCCATAAAAAAATTAAAAATTATACTTTTATGACCATATTGGCATAAATACAAATATAATCCCACATAGAATCATTACCATATACATGTACACATATTATTACTTCGGATTTTTAAAAAAATGAAAATGAAAACTTTGGGTCCAAGGCTACCTGCCTACTCTGTCTACAGGATAAGTCTTCTAAGTGAAAACTTTTGAACAATAAGAGAACATTTTCCTAGAAGTTATACTTTTAAAAAATTACATAATTCTGCTTTTTTAAAGGACCAAAACCCTCTCCCAATATTAGGAAATAATATAATGCTAATGAAAGCCAGATCACTAAAACAAATAGAGTTTGTGGTTACCTCCAGAGCAATATTTGACAAAACTCGTTAGTTACCGTATTTGCCGGCGTATAAGACGACTGGGCGTATAAGACGACCCCCTAACATTTCCACTCAAAATACAGAGTTTGTTATATACTCGCCGTATAAGACTACCCCCTCTTCCGCACACCTTCCACACACCAAATAAAAGGTAAAACAGTATCAGATTTGATTTTAACATTTTAATTTATATTCAAATGCTTATGACATGCAGGAAAACTGTCACAAGGCTGTATGTAATCAAACATATACATAAAACAGTGCAAGTTTATTACCGGTAAACATACCGGTAATTCACTAAAGAAAACACACTCTATAGACTGGTACCGTAGATGCTTCTCAGGAACACAGGCAAGCAGCCCACAACCTAGAGGGACTGTCAATGATAGAAGTAAGATAACAAATAGAGGGAGAGAGCAAGTGCCGGGCAAGTCCCTAGCAAGTTTGCTGGCGTGACAGTTTCACCTTAAAAGCCTTCAAACGCCTCTTCATCATCTGATATTAAAAGTTCATCAACGACATCTTGGTGCCATGATAGGGATGATAGGGGTTTGACTGGTCGACATTTTCTCTGCTGTACTGTACAATGGGGCAGTATTGTGGTTGGCTGTTGGCTGTATACAAAGCCTGATTTGATTGGTCCCTGCTCCCTGGTTGCCCGCCCTGTCACTATAGCAGTCTGGTCCACCCTTGCATCAGCATCTCCCTGGGACCTCACTAGTGCGCAAGTGCGAGCTCGTCAACATTCTAACAGGCACCATGATAGCGCAAAATCGCGAATCTTCAATGCATATGTAAAGAAATATACGGTAACCCGAATTTACCACACTCGCAAAATCGCACACAGCCAACCATACACCCAGTATGGTATCGCGATTCGCGATTTTGCGCTATCATACTGGGTGTATGGTCGGCTATGTGCGATTTTGCAAGTGTGGTAAAATCGCATAACAGCAAAATCGCATAACAGCCGAGCATACACCCAGCAGCGCTGCTGATGCCTGAACGGTATGTGGAATGAAGTGGGCGGGCATCGGGAGGCCACTATGGCACGGGGCAAGCACTATGGGCAGTCTATCTGAAGTGTACCCGGCGTATAAAACGACCCCCCACTTGGAGGCATATTTTTCACAGCCGAAAAATCGTCTTATACGCCGGCAAATACGGTAATAGAAGAATTAGAGAATTTTAAAGTTTATCATAATGAGTTATCACAAACACATTTAGTTTCCTCTTAATTTACCAATTACATAGAGCTGAGTGATTTTCCTATTTTTTAAAAAAGTCATAATGATTACATGAATGTTATAGACTAGTCAAGTATGTTAGGTTTTTTGTTTTCTTTACAGACAATTATATCACTGTTTTCATATAAGGCCCAAAAGAAGCTCATGTATGCTTCTTCCATTATTTTGCTTTGGATAAATAAAAGGAAATGGTTTTAGCTGCCTTGACTTTATGCAGTGGTAATTTCTTTTCTTTTTTAATATATTTTTATTGATTTCAGATAGAAAGGAGAGAGGGAGAGATAGAGAGAAACATCAATGATGAGGGGAATCATTGTTTGGCTGCCTCCTGCACACCCCCTACTGGGGATGGACCCTGCAACCCAAGCATGTGCCCTTGACTGGAATCGAACCTGGGACCCTTCAGTCCACAGGCCGATGCTCTATCCACAGAGCCAAATCAGCTAGGCAGTAATTTCTATTTTCACAAAAGAATATAAATATTCTAAAAGACTGTGCTACAAACAGAAAAGGCAAATATGTTGGAAATTATGATTTAAGAATAAATTCCACTAATAAAAAATAATGAACATCTTTTAAGAAGGCTGCACAATTTTTTCTCCAAATATAATTATGATGCTATGATAGGCTTTATAGGGTTGTAAGACAGATGGTTCACAGTATGAAATCTTCCCTCAAATCCAAGAAAAAGCAATATAGAAATGGCACAAATAAAATCTAAGTTCTCACCATATCTACACCGGGCATAGCAGAATTCTAGTATGTTTTATGGTTTTTCTCTATGTGACCTTAAATTACCAGCGTCAAAAGGGGAAGACTAACGGAAAAATCACTGTGACATACACTGAGTGGCCAGATTATGACCACCCCATCAGTACTGCATTGACACTTCCAAAAATACTGAATATTGAAAACTTCCTAAGCAAATACTCTCAAGGTTTTATTATTATTATTTGCATAACTAATTCACTTCATTGTACTGATGGTGGTCATAATAATATGGCTGGTTATAATAATCTGGCTACTCAGTGTATATTGCCATACTGTTTCTAACACTAAGGGTGACACATTTAGAAAATTGCAGAAAGCCTTATTTTTATTTTCTTTTTTAAAAAAATATATTTTATTGATTTTTTACAGAGAGGAAGGGAGAGGGATAGAGAGTTAGAAACATCGATGAGAGATAAGTATCAATCAGCTGCCTCGTGCACAGCTCCTACTGGGGATGTGCCCACAACCAAGGTATATGCTCGTGACCAGAATCGAACCTGGGACCCTTCAGTCCGCAGGCCGACACTCTATCCACTGAGCCAAACCGGTCAGGGCTAGAAGGCCTTATTTTAAATGGCAATATTAACAATACATATTCAAAGTAGCACCAAATATAATTTTGATGAATATATAATAGTTCATAGAATAATATAAATGAAATATCCAGTTTACAAGTGGGCTACAGATCAAAATTATTTGCAAGTAGGTTTGGAATTGTATTTTCTAAAACAACAAAATGTTGGGTTTATTTTCTGGTTTAATTTCACAAGATTATTTAATGCACAAATGCTATTTAAATCCATAGTATATTTGAAATAAAAAATTATAAAAAATACACCAAAGAAACATTATTTTATAACCTTTTTTAAAAAAATGTTTTTACTGATTTCAGAGAGTATGGGAGACACAGAGATAGATAGAAGCATCAGTGATGAGAATCATTGATCAGCTGCCTCCTGCACGTCCCCTACTAGGGATCAAGCCCGCAACCAAGGTATGTGCCCTGACTGGGAATTGAACTGTGACCTCTTGATTCATAGGTAGACACTCAACCATTGAGCCATACCAGCTGGGCAAGAAATAGTATTTTAAAATGCAAAACAATATAATAACCATAAATTATTGTGAATAGTGGTTTAAGTAAAAGATAAGCAAGTGGCCCTGGCCAGTGTGGCTCAATTGGTTGGAGCATCATCTCATGCACCCGGATCAATTCCCAGTCAGGGGATGTACCCAGGCTGCAGTTTTGGGGGCTCATATGGGAGGCAACCGATCAATGTCTCTCTCTCACATTGATATTTTTCTTTCTCTCCGACCCCCTCCGTCTTGCTCCCTCTGTCTCTCTCTCTCTAAAACAAACAAACAAAAAACCATATCCTCCTGTGAGGATTAAAAAAATAAAATGATAAGCAAATGGGTTAATTCTATTCAGTGGAGTTAAACCTTTGCTGAAAATTTTCAAAGGGCTTCTCAATTTTCAAGCATTTGAGAATGATGCCAGAAGACACCATATGATTATATATAATGTCAGATTAAAGTTATGGCTTCTCATTTTTTTAAAATATATTTTTATTGATTTTTTACAGAGAGGAAGG